AGCCGTCAAGAACAGGGTGGCCAGACCTGAGAATTTCATGCTCTTGATTTTCCCTGAGTAGGGTGCTTTTTGACATGATGGCCAAGGGTGGGAGGTAAATGAGGAAGGAGAACCTTGCTTTAGAAGACGATAAAACACTGAAGATGACAAATATGAAGCAAACCCAGGCAGAGCAGGTTTTGCCCTGGTATTCTCTGTGCATCTTCAACCTTGAAAAGATAAAAAGAAGACTGTCAGAAAAGATTTGAAAGATAAATTAGAGAAGGGGATAGTGAGCAAGGACTTAGGGATTTTCAATGATGTCGAAACTCTTGGTTTAGACAAATTATATTCTGTGATGCTGAAAAGGGTAGAATATTATGTTCAATAATCTCTGAGACAGTTGGAGAGACTTGAAGATTACCAGCCAGAGAAGACAAAAATCTCTATTAAAACAAAAAACAAAAAACAAAAAACCCACCCAAAACCATCAGTAGAGTGCGAGGAGCAAATTGTAAAAGCCATGTATAATAATATTTGACATCAGCCTAAACACAGTGGTTCTCAACTTTTTGGTCTCAAGAACCTCTTATACTTATTGAGGACAGACTCCGAAATACTTTGGTTTATGTTTTATCTATCAACGTTCATTGTATTTGAAATTAAAACTGAGAAATGTTTAAAACATAAGAATGCAAAGCATCGCTCCATTGGATATCAGACCAATGACGTCAAGACATGTCATGTAGCTTCTAGGAAACTCCATTGTGCAGTTAGAGTGAGAGTGGTAAATGCAAATGACCCCTTGGTATTATTAAAATAGGTTTGATCATGCAGACTCCCTTAAAGAGAGGAGTTCAGACCACACTTTGAGAACTGCTACAAGAAAACTTCTCACCATGTGCCCAAGGAGACACGAACATGGATGTTCATGACAATATTACTTATAAATAGCTAATACTTGCCAATATCCCTTAGTAGAAACATGGATAAAGTGTAAAAAAAAAATAAAAACCCTCTAATTTCTAAATAAACTAATTTTCTACATATCCATATGCTTTATCTCAAAACAATATTAATCAAAAAAGCAAGTTGGAGAATATTATAGGATGACATCATTTAATAAAATTTCAATATGCCAAATAATATTATTTCTATAGCTCCACTTGAAACTGAAAATCAAATATGAAGCAAATACTAAAATATGCTATCTGTTCACTTTAGGTAGAAGCAACAAAGGCTTTTTAATATTATTCTCCGTATTTATTTTTAGCATCTTTCAAATGATTTCTAGGCTGTTACAAAGACTGATCATTAAGTTCTAACTTCAGTCCACTTAAAACAGTGGTTCTTAAAAATGCATCAGCAGCATCTGAGAGCTTGTTAAACCAAGCCCACCCCAGGTATATTGAATCTGAATCTCTAGATTGGGGCTGGGGAATCTGGGTTGTAACAAACTCCTCAGGAGATTCTGATGAAAGCCCAAGTTTGAGAACCAAGGGGGCAAGAACAATGTGACCATTCAACCTGCCATTTATAAAAATGCATCTAATTTGGAAGTAAGTTTGGTAATATTGCTTACGATGTTCTGTGGAAAATGATGTTGGACAGATAAAGCAGTTTCTCAAGGTACTTGCCAAATGCTTTAAAGGGATCTCCCCCAACTCCCCCTCCACCACCTCTGGGGGCGTTCAGATTTTCTCAGTTTGCCTATGTGCCTTTGGCTTGAGTACATGCACTTTAACTTCTGACAACAGTCTGAGCTAACCTGTGGCTTCTGGTTACATTTCTGAGTGTTTGGAAATCCTGGCCAGCATAAACCTGTATTGATTATACCTTATGTGGATAAATTCCTTTATAATTACCTAAATCAAAGATCTCAAAGTGCGGTTTCCAGACCAGCAGCATCAGCATCACCTGAAAACTTATTAGAAATGCAAAATTCTGACCCCATCCCAATCCTGCTGAATCAGAAATTCTGGGGATGGGCCCAGCAATCTGTGTTTTATCAAGCCCTCCAGGTGACTTTGACAATCTATAGTTTGAGAAACACTGACCTCAATAAATCTACCTAGAAGAAGGGTGTCCTGGTGAGGGGGACAAGCAATTTAAAGACAGTTCTGAATTGGAACAGCTGAAACTCTAATCAGAGAAGAGTTCATTGCAATGGTGAATTTCCATTCAGAACCCCCAGTCTTCCTGAAGCTTACTGATGGGTACCCAGGAACTAGCACTTTGCCACAAGGCAAGACACTATGCACGTCTTCCATTTACTGCTTTCACGTCGCGATCTCTTCTTTTCCTTTGTCCCCTTTAAAGAACAACTTGAACAAATTAGAACTGTTGCTTCTACTTAAGTAACTTTGCCAAAATGGCTTTAAGTCTGCACAACTCATTTCACTCCTGTCAATCCCTTCATAGCTTCTTATTTCAAGGATTGTTTGGACTTCTGCAATAGATTCTGCATGATGTGTATAATATGTTAAAAATAGGGAAGGTTTCTCCAGAGAAGGCATTCCCAAAAAGTGGGATCATCCAAACCACACGACATACTTTGGCCCCTTGAGCCTTTTATTTTCCTTGTTCTAGAGCGGCTGGTGGAGTCAGCAGGATTCTCTCGGACAACCAATATTGTCCAACAGCATTAACGGTACTCAAGGGATCTGGAGGAGAGGATCAGTCTAAAGGAGATGGTGAGAGTATCAAGTATGGATTTACTGGGCATCCTTCAGTTAAAAGTGTTTGATTAACTTTATTCCTTCTGGGGAAAATTCAGCCTAGCTAACTACTGTCTTGTCACTCCTCATCTGTATTTCTTTTCTTTCTCACAGGCAAAACTGCACCTGAGGTCCCATTTGCAAAATTCAGGCCTGGGTCTATGCTGAAGATGTATTTTCCAGTCACCTTTCAGTTGGCATATAAGTGTCTGTAACAAATATTTTCATTTCACACAGACCAGAGGCTCACTCATGGGGCATCAGGGCAAGAATGCCCATACAGTGAGTAAGAGAATCCGGGGGCTCAGGAGCTTGGCAGTTAAGGAAGTCTTGCTCTGACTCTCGGTGGGGCTGACAAATTCTGTCAGAGAGGGTAATGCGCCAGCCCATCTGAGAGATGGAAGAAATGAACTAGAAGTCCTGTTAAGTCCTACATCCACCAAGCATGGTGGATTATCACTGAGATAGGAGCATCCTCCTTCATTGCCAGCCGGGATCTGCTAGGACCCAGGTGAGTTAAAAACCACAGCAAATAACACTCTGTCCTTCCCCAATAATAAGCACACTCTCTAATAAGACAGTACATGTCCTGGGCCTTTAGCTCGGATGTTACACTAAGACTCTGTCTCCTTCTAGAATGTTCCTCATCAAATGATAACCGCATTCAGTAATTGTGTTTCACTTGGGCATTTTTCCCTCACTGTGAAGATCAATGGCAAAGAATTTTTCTGGGCACAATGCACATTCCAACATCTGAGTTTTATAAAAACTTGGGATATGAGAAAAAACAGAAACAAAAAAAATAAAAAGCAAATTCTTTCTAATCTCAACTTCTTATTAGATATGGCCCACCCTATTATTTAGTCATTAGTGAAGCATTAGCCTTCTCTTAGGGAGAAAATCCCATTCGATAAAAGGATACTGCCTACTATCAACCAGTAGAGTTGGTTAATTGGTCAGTTTCTATTAAATATCAATACCTGCTTTAAATGGGAGATTCCTTTTTGTCCCTAAAGATGTATCTTCTCAAATATCCATCTATTGAGTATTTTACATTTTAGCTGGCCTGAAAAATTTCAGAATCTTACCAGAAAATCAAATTCACAAAATGAACGATTAGAAGACTCTATATTTATCTTTGGTTTGAATAGACCTACCTGTTTCAATACGAGAATAGAAAACAAACAATACCAGAATAGAATGACCAAGACTATGCATGAATGATGGAATCACAATTTTAATTTACTCAGCTCTGGTGATATAAGAATTTCCAGTAACTTATCAGCTAGGCTTCTTTATTTGCATCCTCTAAAAATGCAACCACTTCTGTTTTGCCTAAATACTTAAACACAATGTATTCAATATTCATGTTTCCACAGAAGAAGGTATTCATAGCTCAATGTCTGCTAATATGATGAGCAAGAGACATAGAATAGAATCTAATCTATTAGATAACAGGATGATAAACTTCAATGACATTTAACTCTCACAGGCAGCTTTTGGGCAATTGCTTGCTGGTCTCCGGAATTCTTATCATTTTTTTTTTTTTTTGACGCATAAGGAAACAGCAATGACTGGATTTTCTCTGTAGTCACTTGACATATCTGAAATTTATTGGGACTAATTTCTGCTTTAATGCAATTATTTTCATGAATATCCCTTGCCAAAAATCTACTAGCCATTTCTTTAAGGTAAATTACAACCTATAGGACTGAAGTGACTCATTTTTATTTGAAATAGCTAGACCATGAAGACAAATATGAATATATTATGTATTTAAACATGATTATATATAAAACATGCACATATATGTGGATATATATGTATATGCATGTGTGTGTATATACATACATATGAATCATTATTGTTAAAATCTGTTAGTACTAAGTTTTCTATACAAGTTTAAACATTCTGAGGGCAAATGTAAAACACCTAAAGGTTGCCTATTTAATCTGAGGTTACTGTCAACATTTACCAGAGGGAGCAAATAATATTTTTCGGTATGAAGACTAGCAAACACCATTTTAAAGTAGAAATAAGATTTTTCTATTTTGTGATTGCATTTTATGTGTTTGATTTAAAAAAAAATCTCACATCTGAAAGCTGAGGTTCCTTTTCATGTGCTGCAATTTACAATAAGTGGGGAACATTATAATCATTGAAGAATAAGTGCGGATCATCAGTGGATATTTAAAAACAAGTGCATGATTTAGGCATTTTTCTAGCTTGCCTGTAAGGATGGTGCACCGCATCAAATGAGAACACGCATCTTGAGCCAACTTAAAGACAGAATCCCCACCTTACCTTCATGGGCGCCAGCTGGATGGGTGTGATGCAGGAAGGGTCTACCATGGGCTTGGGCCTGTTGGCTGTGTCGGCTAACAGGCTGTGCCACTGCTGGGGGAGGCCCGTAAACTTCTGTTCTTGTGGATCAAACCCAGTGTGCACCCTGTGTTCAAAGTTGGAGGGACCAGATATTTCAATCTTTTTCTTCTTCTTTCCAAACATGATGCAAACCTGGGAAATGCAAACAGAAAAAGAGATCCTGTTTAGATCTCACCAGCAGAAGACGATAGGAAAATGATTCAGTCGCAGGGCTAGCTTTCCAATTATTCCTCTCTGTCTCAGCAGCAAAAGATGAAGGGTGGATTTTCAGGGTGTGTAGAGCAGGTATTTCATTCTTAATCTGTTTTCTCCTTGCCCTTGCCATGTGGAATATAGTCCCTGCCCCAATGATTTTGGATTTGGCCATGTGACAGTTGTGTGGTCCAGGATGGAGGGTTTTGAAGGCACTGTGTGTTTCCACTCTCCTCTTTGTGCTTCTGCCACCTGGCAGGAAGATCTGTCTTGTGGGTGATACTCCCTCAGCCTGGATCCTGGAAGGAGAGATGCATGAAGCAGACCCAAATCCAACCTCCAGTCTGGATCCACGTGCAGCTGAGCCCCAGGTGACTCAGGAGTAAGAAAGCGATGTTTCTAATTAAGCCACTAAGATTCCGGTCTTGCTATGTGGTATTAGCAAAGCAAAAGCTGACGAGCACACAGGGAGAAGCATCTCAAAGTTTGGTGTGCACTTAAAATCTAAAAACCTTTGGACAAATAGGGGTACATATGAAAAAAATGGGGTTAATAATCACTTTCACCATATGCAATTCTTATGAGGATTAAACAAACATTTGTAAAACACAAAGTGCTGCAAATATTAAATAGATTTCTGAACAAATATACAAGAAACTTGAGTGGCACTGCCTGCAGAGAAGGGGAGAAGGGAGATTGGGGGACAACACAGGGAGGAAGACTACTTTTCACTGTATATTTCTTTTTTTAAAGATTTTATTTATTTATTTGACAGAGAGAGAGAGAGACAGCGAGAGAGGGAACACAAGCAAGGGCAGAGGGAGAGGGAGAAGCAGGCTTCCTGCGGAGCAGGGAGCCCGATGCGGGGCTTGATCCCAGGACTCTGGGATCATGACCTGAGCCCAAGGCAGATGCTTAAAGACTGAGCCACCGGGCGCCTGGGTGGCTCAGATGGCTAAGCGTCTGCCTTCGGCTCAGGTCGTGATCCCAGGGTCCTGGGATCGAGTCCCGTGTCGGGCTCCCTGCTCCTTAGGAGCCTGCTTCTCCCTCTGCCTCTCTCTCTCTCTCTGTCTTTCATGAATAAATAAATAAAATCTTTAAAAAAAAAAAAAGACTGAGCCACCCAGGCGCCCTGTATATTATATTTGGAACACTGTACAATGTATTTTGCCTGTTTGAAACAATGTCGTTTACCCAACTGAAACATATCCTGTGACCAGGATACTTCCAGGATACCTGCAAAATAGTCACTTTGTGCTTTATGGTATTGAAAACTCATAAGACGTCCTGGATTTAAATCCCAGGCTGATTCACCTATTCACTATGATCTAGGGTTAACTGCTTTTCCATCTCTCAATTTATTGTGAATAGGACAATCATGATCATTTGGGGAATCCTGAAAACACAGCTGCAGGCACTATAAAAGGTGATGGTTTGGCTTCAATGTTGCTTTGTTAGGGAAGCCTTATCTCAGCCCTTAGGCTTAAATAGGTGGGTTATACACGTGTACAGGTCCATGTACAAATTCTTCACAGCATGTATCCATGTCAATTAATTAGGTGTAATGGTGTGCTGGGTGTCTGTTTTCCCTAGAATAGAAGACACACCAGAGAAAGGATACTGTTGGCTTGTTCACTACCGCGTGCCAGTGCCCGGCATATAGAAGGGCTCAAGAAATACATGCGGACGGACTAAAATCATAAGCGTGGTACGTTTATTCATTGACTAGCACCTGGGATAAGAGCTCCACAGATGTTAACATCTTCCCTTGCTCTCCCCCTCCTCCTGACCCTCTCTCTCCCTTGCCTTCATCTTCCATTAAAATTTGTTTCTTCTTTTAACGAGTTATCCCTGCTTGGCAAACAGCATCTTCCTGCTGCCTTCAAGTTTTCTCATGGTCCTAGTCCATCCTCCACTGATGTCTACTAGTCTGTTGAGCTGCCATAACAAAATACTCGGGACTGGGTGGTTTATAAACAACAGACGGTTCATTCTCACAGTTCTGGAGTCTGGAAGACCAAGATCAAGGCTCTGGCAGATTCAGTGTCTGGTGAGAACCTACTTCCTGGATGGCTGTCTTTTTGCTGGTACCTCCCATGTTGGAAGGGAAAAGGGAGCTCTCACTGGCCTCTTCTAATAATGGCACTAATTCCATTCATGAGATTCTACCCTCATGAGCTGGTCATCTCCCGAAGGCCCCACTTCCTAATGCTATCACCTTGAGGATTTGGAGTCCAATATATGGGTTTTGGAGGGACACATTTAGACCACAGCACTGGATGGATATGTATTCTTTTGACAGAGATCAGATTGCTCACAGCTTTAACTCCCCCGGACTCTACAAAACCCATTTCTCCATTCATCCTGGTTGTTACTTCAGACTAATTTGGAAAACACATAAAGTGATAGAGAAAAATCAATGAAAGATAATAAGGGCTCAAAACACCTTGATGTGTTGTCTCTTTTGGAGAGCATAACAATTTAAAAAAACTCTTTAAGTACCTTACTAAAGTATATTAATAAATATGTCAGCTGATTTTAAACATTTGAGAACACCCAAGCCAAAATGTAAAGAACTAAAGGAATTCAGCTGTGGTAGACAATCCCAGGAATGGCCCCCGATGTTTCATGCCCCCCCAGTGTCCATGCCCTTGGGTGGGTCTCTCCCACATGATGCTGGGCCTGGAGATGTAATTTGCTGTGGCCAATGGGACAAAAGAAACCATCACACAAGCATGAAATGATCTTGTACTTTGGGGTTTGCCCACTTGCTGCTCTTGGAACCAGCAGCCAGCTTTAGAACAAGGCCAGGCCATCCTACTGGAGGATGACACACTTTGGTCCAGCTACCCATCAGCCCAACCATCAGCCCTGGTAGCAGAGCCACGTAGCTGACCAGCAGCTATCCACGAGGTGAGCCCAGTCAAAACCAGCAGAAGAACCATGCAGCTGAGCTATACCCAAAGTGCTGACCTACAGAATCAGGACAAACTTGTTTGTTGCTTTAAGCCATTACATAGTGGAGTACATTTCAGCATAGAAAATGCTAATAGCAAAGACCTGCTTATCATCCCATACCTTGTATCTTCAGATGCCCATCATTTTTCTCTTTCTACTTTAGCTGCTTCAAAGTCTAAAATAATAATGTCCGATCTGGGTAACTACATTAGCTGTTATACAATTCCATTAACTCAGAAGAATCCTGACTGTGATGCTATTCTCTGGTTGGATGATGGCCTGCAAGGTTTTCAGTGGCCGGGATATTATGCTAAATAAGTGAGTCTACATATTAGGTCTAGGTGTTATTTAGTGAAAATGAAAATAATTTGAAAATATAATTTGGTCATGTGTTGGCTGAATCCACTTGATATTTTAATAAACTTTATGACCATTTTTTTAAAAACAAGGTAGCAATTACTTTACAAAAATCACATGAGATGAGGTTTGATTTTTTTTTTTTTGCATGAATTCATACATGAACAGGCACTGAAAATGCTAGGTGAAATATTTTTAGAACCAGAATAGAAATGTTTTACTATTCCCTTCCTGACTGTGAATGTCCCAGTGGTTGCCATGCCATTCAAATGAGAACGTAAAAAAGAAAATCTCAATGAATGAATACTCTTCTTATTCTAAAATAAGACAGTTGTGGAGAGGAAACCTGTGGCTGAATGAATTTTCCTACGCTGTAGCCTGCAGTAATATACAACTGTAATTTAAATGGTTATAAATACAGTGCTACATATCTAGTAAGTTTGAGTTAAAGAGTTATAGAGGAAGAAACTAGAAAGGAAAATTAAAAAGTTCTACATTTTCAAGTAACGTTCCTGTGAAGCTCACACTTGACTAAATGTGGAGAGAGAATCTCCATGGTGTATGGTGATATTTCATTAGCGATGAGGAATCTCACACTCAGGCGAAAGAGTCCTGATGCTTGTAATTACAGCGCTAAGCAGAGAGATACATGGTAGGAGGCCCTCCTAAAATCCAAGATCTGCTTGATAAATCGTCTCTTCTCTCTGATATGTCCATGCTTAGGCTGTTACTTAGGCATAGTGCTCAAGGCTCATTGTGTCCACTAGTACTTAAAACTCATAATAACACTATATTGGCAGTGGGGGTGGGAAAGGGATGTTTCAAGACCACTGTTTGATTTGCTAGAACTCACAGCAACTTAGAATACACTCGCACTCCAGCTGTGATTTATTACAGTGAACATATGCAAAGCATAATCAGCAAAGGGAAAAGGCACATGGACAAAGTCTGGAGGAAACCAGGCGTAAGCTTCTAGGGGTCCTCTCCCAGTGGACTCACACAGGACGTGATTAATTTCTCTAGCAATGAGTTGTGACAGTACATGAAAAATGCTATCTCCCAGGGAAGCTTGTTATAGAATCAGAGCCTGAGGATTTTATTCAGTATTAGTCATACAGGCACCCTTTGCTTGGCCCATGCCAAAATTTTAGACTCCAGAAGAAAAGCAGGGGTTCAGCATAAACAATGTTTGCATAAACAGTTTAGTCACAATGAACCATTCTTATCAGGGAGAGGTGGGAACCCTGCTAAATTCCAAGCTCCCAGATGCCACCCAAGGGCCAACCTTGCAAACTGGCTTTTCTAAGACATACTCAGGCCTGCTGTGTTAACTCTTCTCTGCACAGGAGGTGTTATTATCATATCTCCATGGAGGAAATAGCAGCTCAGAAGTTAAAAAATGGCAAAGCTCGAGACTCAGAACCTCAAAACACACGCTTTTTAATCACTACACAATGCAACACTGCCCTGCACTAGCACCAGACATCCCCTCCCCTGACCTTCTTAGGAAACTTGTGCCCCTAAAGATATGCCTGGGTGGGGATTGTGAGCTCAAATAAGGTAACTATGAGATTCTGGAAATTTGGGGATCCTATTAGCTCTCTCCAGAAAGACCCTTTTTCCTG